TTCGACCACATCAAAGTACGTCCTGACCATAGGAGTGTGCTAAGGTACAAGCACGACTTCCAAACTTGAAACAAAAAGCTAAGACCCCGCTCTTGTGTGTGCGAGAAGACTCTTAGCCCGACGGTGACACCTCGATCTAGCTCTGTCGTTGTCCTACCAATAAGGCAGAACACCTAACTTGCGATGGTAAGTTCACGCCGCGAAGCAAAGACCTCAACCGAGATCTTAGCTCCATTGACGATTGGCAGGAAACACCACAGTCTCCAACTCGGTGATCCTTGCTTGAGGCGTTGGCTCTCCTCGACTGCCTTGGTCATCTTCTCTCGCATCTCATCCATTTTGCGGTAGAGCCCGACCTGGATCTCGTGTTTTGACTTGTAGTCAAAGAAGTTGTTTTCCACTTTATTCTTCTACACTTCCAGGCTCCCTTGCGAGCCTAGCTTCACGAGCTCACCACTTCGAACCCAGAAGACACTACTTCAGGCAAGTTACCTTTGTCCCTCTTCAGCATGCGAACTGACTCTTAAGTCATTACTCCCTCGACTAGAAACAACAACTTGGGGGCTCCTGTTCTAGACTGGATCTGAAGTTGGCCCACCGTCCGGCACGGCCCAACCTAGCTCCCCGTTGGGGGAGGGTCCAACACAAAGGCCCAATCCGCCATCACCCTGGGAGTAAACGTTCCTCACACGTTCTCCACGTGCTCGCCACACGACCATTTCGCCCTCGAGAACAGGTGCGTCACTTTCCAAAGTCTATGGGGCAGCAGATCCAGGACAAAGACCACGTGCTGGTATTCCCTACCTCCACGTAGGATCCTGAAAGTCATTTGTTATGGGTTTTACGATCCAGCCCACAGCAGATGACCGTTGGCCCAGCGTTGAGGGCACATTATAAATACCCTCCTCCACTGGAGGGTCAGGTATTCTAATTCATACTCACTTTCTGTACTTGCTCTCTCTTTTTGCTCTGAACCTCACTTTGTCATCGGAGTATCTTCCAGGTACATTCCACTCCTTTTCTCTACCACCGGTAAACTTGGAGCTCACATATTTAGTTCCAAAGACATTTTCATATTACAACAAATACATATCTAAAAAATAACAAAACAAAACTTTCTTTATCATATGTGAGTACACATTTCAAATGGAACTGCATGTTCCTAAACCTTAAATTTAAATGGCTACATCTTGATGAATACAATATTTGTGTTCCCCAAAACGATTTTTACAATGAGAAAAATATTTTTCTTATATATTAATTTAAATAGGAAAAAATATGTCTCTTATAAATTAATTTAAAATAATTTTAAATTAATAAGTGAGTGTTAATAATTTTTTTACGAGAGTAAATTTGTTATGTATGAAAATACTGAAAAATATTTTGGCATTGACAAACCAATACCCATGCGAATTCACGGGGAAAAAATGATGTTGATCTAAAAAAAATTATATACAAAAACAATTAAAAATTTTAGATTTATTTTTTTAAAATAATATTTATATACAGAAAAAAAATTGTTGTTCTACTTATATTTCATCTTCTACTTATACCATTTTTCATATCAAGTTTTTGGGCTTTTTTTAACAATTTTATTTGTGTGTATAAATAATGGCAAAACAAATTATTCTATCAACAAATTTTTTTTTAATTTTAAATATAATTTTTCTTTTCTATTCATTTAATTTTCTATAATGTTCTTTTTTTTATTCATGAATATTATATGACTATAAATCTTTATATTCCATACTACCTAATTTATTTTTCCTATATATTATAATTTATTTTTAAAAATCGTTTTTAAAAACAAATACGCGTAATACATCGGTATATGTGCGACAACACAGGTATTCATTAATATGAAATGGAAAATTTAAACTATTCATTTAAGTATTAAAAATTAAAAAATTATTGATAATTTTTTAAAAGTATGTGAACAAATGCGCGTAACACACCAGTACTCGTGCAAACGTACGGATATCCAGACCAGAATCCATGCGAACGCACGGATTATTTCATTGTTTGTATAATGAAAGAAAATAAAAGTAAATATATTTGAAATAATGTATGAATTCAAACACGGGAAAATGTATCTATTTATGCCACTAATATTTGTATAAATACTATGTTATTTTTTATATTTATAAAACTAAATTATTGCATAAATATTTTTATAAAAAATATCAAAATAAAATTAATATTCACACACCGAAAAATATACGGTTAATTTAAATATTTGTATATATAAAAAAATTATATTTATGCTCTAAATTTAAATAAAACAACATTCTTTTTAAAAAAATAATTTTTTTTTGTAAAATAATTTTGTCTTCTTTTTTATTTTTATTTAAATAAATAAATAAATACGATTCACCAACCGGTGTCCACGAATCTTTATTCTATCTTTTTTTTTAATATAAGTTATAATTTTTATATTGACTGATTTTTATTAATTCTATATATATTTTTTTAATTTTAAATATAAATAAATGCACGTCACTGACGGGTATCCGTGCGAAGGCACGGGTATCCTGCTAGTTTGTACATAAGATGTGAGTACAAAGATGCAAAATTCTAGAAGAAGAAATTACAAAAATTGAAAAGTAAAAGTAAATAGCAATGGGAAATTTGTATGAATTTTCATTGGTTACAACACATGCTATTATACACTCTAAGATCTGAATCCCAATAATTTGCTTCAGTCGATAATAACTGGACAGATCTTTTGTCACCTGAATTCAAGTTGTGATGAAATAGGCTCAAGTGTTGCAGTCAAATGCCTTTATCCCTAACTTTTGCCTGGACATTTTTCTCGCTTTTTTCGTCCACCGGAATACTATTTTTTTTCTAAGTTGTCTTTTTAGATTTTCGACTTAACTGGCCTATTTTTTTTTATTTGATCCCTAATTTTTTGCCTGGACATTTCTTTTTTTGGTCAACCGGGATACCCATTTTTGCATAGGTTATCCTTTCGAATGTCAACTTAGCGGACTCTTCGTTCATTTCTTTTTTAGGCATAGTATCTTTTGCCTGCATCAGAGTTCACTAGAAGTGGAAACTCCTCCCCATCCATGGTGGTGAGGATCAACGCTTCGCCTGAGAATGCCTTTTTGACGATAAATGGTCGTTAATAGTTAGGAGTCTACTTGCCTCATGGATTCGAGGTATCGACGAACATTTCTTGAGCACTAGGCCTCCTTCTTGAAATACGTGAGGGTGGACCTTTTCGTCTATGAGATTCAGATGATTAAATCTGAATTATTTGAATTGAACCAATTATGCTTCATCAAGTTTGGTTCCATGATAACCTTTAATGAAAGAATTTCAACCTCGATTGGGAGAACAACCTACATGCCATATATGAGAACAGAGTTTCCCTAGTAGAGGTGTGTGCCGAAGTTCTGTAGTCTTGTAGAGCGAATGAAAGCATTTCATGTAAATCCTTGTGATTACTTTTTTTTGGACAATCTTCTTGATATTTTTGTTTGTTACTTTTACGACACTGATTATCTTACCCGATATGGTGGAAAGTTGTGGTGTTCAATTTTAAAGTCTTTGCACAACTCTTTCATCATTTTGTTGTTCAAATTACTGGTATTGTCAATAATAATTTTGCTTGGAACTCTGTAGCGACAAATTATTTCCTTTTTGATAAACTTTGTACGTCTCAAGGTTCATTTTGTTATGTACTTTATTATTTAGTATTGATAATTTATAATATTAAATATTTGATCAATATTTTGATATTTGATTTGTATTTATTATTTAACATATATGAAATGTACGTATGAAATTTTTTCAAATTATTTTATTTTATTATTTGTAATATAATTTAATTTTAAAAAAAAACAAATACTTTTATTTTAAAAAAATTGTTTTCACTCAGTTGATGTTGACAAATAAAAAATACATAAACTTATTTAGGACGAGTTTGAATTCTAATTCTCAATTTTTATTAAATATCAAGACGCGGAACATAAATTATTTGAAAATTCAAATGGGGACGAGTTTGAATTCTAATTCTCAATTTTTATTAAAGATCAAGACGTGGAACATAAATTATTTGAAAATTCAAATTTGCGTGAGATAAAAATCGTCTCGTCTTGCCCCATTAATATGTCTACTTAAACATCCTAAAAGATTTAAAGATAAAAGTAAAAGAGACAACGAATATTTATTGCGACAATAAATCAACTAACATATAGCTCATAAATAAATTGAAGTCGGCAGACACTTCACTAAAAAAACTAGACAATGGCTCGATATGCAGACCATACATGTTATCTCAAATTCAAAACTTGAAGATGTTCTTACTAAGAGACTCAACAACCACTATTTTGAATTAATCTTTGCCAAGCTAGGAATGGATAACCTATATTCACCTGCTTATGAGAGAGTGTGGAAAATCTCACACTATTTAAAAATTTTGATTTAGGAAATTTGTAATATCTTTCTTTATTTTTATGATTAAAAAAATCTCCTTAATTTTAAGAATCTGCAATTAGAACAGTATAAGTACTGTTTTCTTAATTAACATACAAATTTTGTATATATTCCCCATGTACCTTTCAATATTCTTCATATGAAAAATAATTTACTCATAAGATTCTATTTTGGAGGAATAAGAGATATAGGAAGAAAAACTTTCAGGTTGTTCTAATGAGATCTTGAATTATAGCAAGGAAGAGCTACAATGATTATATTTAGTCACAAATTGAGACTATGGTTTCAAATATAACAACTTTATGCAAATTGACACATATAAGCCAACAACATATATCTGAAAAAACAAATGAATTGCTGAATTATAACCAGAACAGCAATTCTGTTATTTACCACATGTACTGCATTATTTTCATTCTCAAAGCTTGAACTTCTACACTAAAGCCACAACAACAGCCAGAGGCACACGAGATCCAAACTATCTACATAACCCATGCCACTATTTTTTATGCAAATTATAATAAAAGAAAAACAAGTGAAAGTAAATCTCAATCTGACTATTTAGCACCAAAAAGGTTAGATAGATCTTTTACAAAAGCCTTCTGCTCGACATCTTTCCTTTCCAAATGCCACTTTTTTGACATATTTTCAGCCTATAAACAAAAGTTTTGGATTTTGAGTTATGACTTTCAATTGAAATATTCAGAAGTATAAAGAAATGAATTTTGTAACTCACCCATATTTTCATGGGAACAAATTGCGTTTTGATATTTTCAAGTTGTGGCTCAACAACATCCCTTCCTTTAGTTTTGAGGTCACCCATCTGTTTAAGCAACAAAAACTTAAGATAAAGAAACAATACTATATAGTTTATCGGAATAGTTTTATGGTCTTAAATAGTTCATTGAACATGATGAAGAGTTAATGGAGTCAAATCACTTACGTTATGCAGTTCTAACTTGGAGGCCACCGTACCGATTACAATTGCAGCACCACCAAATACAACTGCAGTGGCAATAGCAAATGCCTTTCCAACTATAAAATTGAAAGCAAAAATAATTGCATTAGAAAACATAGGTATCATATCCCTAAACGAGTATGAAAATATTACTTTGACGTCCTTAGTCCTGCATTTATTCCACATATAAGTGAATATGGAAGCATAAGGTTAGGGACTATTAGAAATTAAAACCTTTCAAATTAAGACATTTTATGGGACCGTCTTGGTCTCAATGATTATTGTTTCTTCTTGTTATATATTGGATAAGAGGGAGTGAAAAGTATGATCCTCAGATATTTCAACATGTATTCCAAATGCCCAAAACACTCTTCTCATGGTGCTTTTAACAGTCTCATGCACTATGAATCATTGATTTTTTTGTACTCTAATTTTTACTTGGTCCATAAACTGAGATAACCTCACTTGTTTTGATTTTAATGATTATCATTACTACACACAACCTGACTTATAAAAAGACGTAACTTCTGCCCAAATAATATCTCACTGCTATTTGCCTCGTTCAAACCTCAGATATGTTTTACTTCCCTTCCCTCCCCCTTATTCACAATTTCTATATTGAAAACGTAAAAGACCTCAACCATAGTTTCAAACTATCTGGTTCCTTTTACGTAAGCACAAATTTCTCTACTTTTATCGGGAACCTATGAAGGTTTAACTTTAGCTCATGCAATTGATGAGAAACTCTAAGAATGACTACTTCCCCAACTGAAATTATTGGACACTCTATAGACCCAATAAGTTATCTTATCCCCTTAAAAAACTCAACATCTATAATACCACATCGGCTCAATTTAGTTACACCAAATTTCTTAGTAGAAACACATGATGCTCAATACACTGCAATGGAAAACTTTATGTATTAAACCAAAGTTAAACATAGACAAAACACATTAACATGTAACCATATGATTATCATATGTTATTTTTAGCTTATTTTTACTAAACTAGCTTATAAAAACAACTTAAACATAACTTATATTAAGTCCTACCTATTTCCTATTCAATGGTAGTAAGCGATTATTAAATAAGTGTTTTAACTAAACTGTTTACTCGAATATCCCCTTAGACTTTGTTTTTATTGAGAATTGCTTACAGCATTTACCCCATACAATGAGCAAATGAGAGCATTCATCACAAGCAAATCAATATAACAAGAATGAAACATACCATTTGCAAGCCCTTCAGATGCTGCTTTTAACTTTTCCGGGTTAGCATGAATTTCATATCGGTCTGGACGCAATTCATTGGCCGTAGAGGCTGAAACCCCGTGCGTTGATTCAGGCATTTCCCACCTGAAACCAAATCATCATCCCAAAACATGAAACACAACAATACATCAAAAACATCAAATAAAATTATGGTTTTCAACACGAAAATACTCTCTTTTTCTTATTTCACTTTTTAAATACATTGAATATAGACCAATTTTTTCTTATAATAATCCACAAGTAGAATTCACACAAAAAGTGATTAAGTAATGAATTAAAAAGAAAGTGAAATTGAAATGATAAAGGAGAAGTAAGCAACCTCTTGGGGCCAAAGGTAGCTTGGGGCAAAGAAACGAAACCACGAAGAGGATTGAGAACATCAGGAGACACAGAGTATTGGATTTTGGGATCGGAAGGAAGGATCCATTTGGATGCAGAGAACGACGACGACGTCGCCGTTTCGTCTCTGAATAATTTGGAAGGAAGAGAGTGTTTTAGAATTTCTGGAAGAACGTCGGCGTGATCTTGAACGACGTGTCGTTCATCTGAATTGGTTTTTGAGATTGGTGGATTCTTTTGAGCTAATTTTGTAACGGCTTGTTTGGATTCATGGAAAAAATAAGCGGCTTCTTTTCCTGCTAACCTTCCCGCTAGAAAACTCATCTTCCGGATAAATTAGTTAATTCTTTTGAAGCTAAAACCACTTTGAAATTTCAAGTTATCTACTTGTATATATAGTTTTTAGGATTGTTTGTATAAAAGCCAAATGTGTTTTTAGTTTCTCTTCATTTCAATTAAATAATGTTTTTTTTCTAGGAGGCAAAAATAATAAATATCATCTAAAACTTACCCACAAATTTTATTTATTGAGTGACTCTTTCTATTAATCCTTACATGTGTTTTAGATTTTATCTCCCAAGTGTTTTAAAATAAACTTCTTTTTTTTTTATTACTTCTCTGAAACTTTTTAAATTTTATAAATACTCAATATGCCATCATATAATTTTGTAGGGTTATATTTGTAAGTGTCTACAATAAAGGTGCTCTTGCCCGAGTGAGATTTCGTTTAGGCAATATCCCACCAAAATTAAAGGCTTCTTCTTAGTAGTGATGATGTGCAAATATTGTTAGTCAAGGGAGTGGAAATTTTTCATTACTTCCGAAAGAATAAACAGTCAATAACTTTCCCTAAATATGGGGAGCAGTTACCACCTCTAAGAGTTACTCAAACCCTAGGCCTAAGAGGCCTTTATAAGTATCTCTCCTTAAGAAGAGAAGGCTGGGAGGGGAGGGTCTGGTAATCAGTAGGGAATTTCTTAGAAAAAAGGATGTGAAAGCTCGTATATTGAAGGACGTTGAAGCCGGCATCGCTCCATAAGGGGTGAGTTTGAGCGTTCGCCTTCCCAAGAGCGAGCAAAGTGGTAGTAATAGAAGATGAAGGGTCTCCCTCTATCCTTTGAGTATTCACGTTAGGCGAGTCTAGAGCACGACCCTTAACATGCCTTTTCTTCCCCTCAATAATAGAACCCTTTGGGTGATTCTAGGGATTGTCGGAGCCTGAACTAACAACCTTGATTTTTTCCCACCTTTGTCTTCTCTCCTTACCAGAGATCTTTGCCACCTCTAAGAGTTACTCAAACCCTAGGGCTAAGAGGCCTTTATAAGTATCTCTCCTTAAGAAGAGAAGGCTGGGAGGGGAGGGTCTGGTAATCAGCAGGGAATTTCTTAGAAAAAAGGATGTGAAAGCTCGTATATTGAAGGACGTTGAAGCCGGCATCGCTCCATAAGGGGTGGGTTTGAGCGTTCGCCTTCCCAAGAGCGAGCAAAGTGGTAGTAATAGAAGATGAATGGTCTCCCTCTATCCTTTGAGTATTCACGTTAGGCGAGTCTAGAGCACGACCCTTAACATGCCTTTTCTTCCCCTCAATAATAAAACCCTTTGGGTGATTCTAGGGATTGTCGGAGCCTGAACTAACAACCTTGATTTTTTCCCACCTTTGTCTTCTCTCCTTACCAGAGATCTTTGCCATTTGGTTTATAAAACAAGGCGAAAAGATCAGAAATATCATCTAAAGATACCCACGGAGGAAAGTAGAACATAACTTATCTAAATAGGAGGCGATATGTTTGCCACCGCCCAACCAAAATCTAATCACCTCGCGGTAACCCATAACCTCGAACTCCCGCAGAAGGCGAATAATCCTTTTATCCTCGAGGGTAAGGAACGCTTGTTCATATCCAATGACTGCCATAGGGTCGTTCGTTTAGGACAGAGGGAAAAGGGGGCACCATCAACCTTTAGTACGGAAGGGATTCATCTTGCCCCCTCACATGGGAGAACTTGTTCTTCCAATAATTATAGTGATTGTAATGAGACACAAAAAGAGCTTTCTCCAACTGGGTGCTTAAAGACATCCATCTCCCCTTCATCGATTTGGTAGTTGAAAAAGAGAAGAAAACTCACATGGTCAGAGTTAACAACCAGCTTCTCACACACCATCTTGAAGGCCCTGACATAACCCCAACTATTAGGGAACAATTTGGAAGGGTGCTACGTTGAGAACCCTTAAGGCATCCATGGAAAATGGGGAAAGGATGGATAATAACCCCATATCCCTTATGAAGGGGAGGTAGAAATAGATGTATGGGGAAAGAGGATTGGAAGAGACATGTGTGGTCACCCTCTCTGATGGCAAACAAGCCTCCAAGATAACCTGGTCTTCGTCCTCTAAAGAAGAAACCTCCACTCCCGGTCAGAAAAGAGAGATATGTTCATCAGAAGTATAACATGATCCAATTTCTTTGATGTCCTTGGACACGAAAGAGGTGGTAGACATTATTTCTTTGTTCTTAAGAAAACAATATGACAAAAAGAAATCACCACTACCGTCGAAATCTTTAAAGGGTGCAACCAAAACCCTGAAAATCTACCCTACACTTATAGTAAACCCCATTTTGGATGTATCTTCGCAAACCCTATCTATTATAGAAAGAAAAGAAAAAGAAATTCATACCTGGAAGTAGGTTGTGAATAAAGGAGCGGGAAAGATGAAGGGATGAACTATTCTTGTGAGCTTGCAGATACAAGGAGTGAACTGGAAGAAATAAGAGGAAAGAAAAAAATTTATAGGGGGGGGGGGGAACCACAAAATTCTTTAAACTTTTCCGTGAATTTGAAAAAACTCAACACGTGTCATTAGCATTTAAGGTCTCGAAAGAAGACCATAATTACTTACATTAAATGTGAGTAAGTGTGACCATCTGAATGATTAATTGGCATTCTTCGGTTGACATTCTAGCTATTTAGAAGGTGACTCACCTCTCAACTAAGGGAGAATACAATTAAAAGGATGCCTCAAGCTGAAGAACTTGCCCTTTAAAAAATAGTCACCTTTAGCTGAGGAACTCGCCCCAGAATGACGAACTCGCCCCTAAATAAATAGTTTCCTTCAGCTGAGGGATTCGCCTCAAGTTGAGGGACTTGTTCCTTAAACAAATAGCCGCATTTAGCTGAAGGACTCGCCCTTTAAGTAGTTAAAGGTCTCGCGGAAGGGCGATAGGTGTATCTCTTAAATGAAAGATGCTTTGAAAACACTTCGCTCTTTGCAAAGCACTCGTGCTTGAGGGAGCATGTAGTGTTATATTTGTAAGTGCTCACAACAAGGGAACCCTCGCTCGAGTGAGACTTCACCAAGTGATATCCCACTAGAATAAATGGATCATTAGTTAAAGAAGAGAAAGTCCCCTACTACCTCTTGAAAATTAGGCGCTCAACAACTTCCTCTGAATATGGGGGAGCTATTACCACCTATAAGGGTTACCCAAACCCTAGTCCCCAAAGACCTTTTTAAATATCTCTCTTCAAGGAGAGAATGACGGACTTTAACTGGTACCGATCACACCCACATACTCGTTTATACTTAAGCACACCATTTCATAGCAATGTCTCTCACCTCACGTAAAGAGGTCCTTAAATGTTTTATTTTTTTCTAATCAATGTGAGACTTTTTCACGTTTTATTTCTCAAAATTTTTAATTCTCACTTATTTTTTTCTCAACAATATCTAAAGTTTAGAGTATCAGGTTTTATATATTTATTAATTAGAATAACTCTCTCATTTAACGCTTGTGACTTTCTTCTATTTATTATTTAGGCTTAATACCCTTTTCGGTCCTGTATCTTAACCTCGAAGTTCATTTTAATTCATAAAGTTTAAAAAGGTCCATATTAGTCATTTAACTCTTCAAAACGTTCTATATTAATATTTTTTGTTCTATTGACGACGGAAAAATTCAAAAATCAGTCGCTAATTAGAAAAACAATGACAATATGAAATATTTTGAAGAGTTAAGGGACCAATATGAACTTTTTAAAAATTAAGAAATCAAAATGAATTTCGAAATTAAGATAAATAACCAAAAATGATATTAAACATATTATTTATTTATATATTATTTAATTATGAGATTGACATATAGATAGAGATAAATAAGTAAAATTCATTTTTAAAAATAAACTTAATTATTGAATCTCACAAATCTATCATCTATTATATTTCTCTCATAAATTGACATCAAATAGAGGGGAGATAAATAGAAAGAAAGAAAAATCGAACTTGAATTTTATGATCAAGATTGTTGACCTACTTATTATTTGTTTGATAAATGTAAGTGAGTTTAACTCATTTCTCTAAAATATTAAGTATTTTGTTTTAAAAGATAATAATAAAATGATTTAATTGATAACTTTTAAAAGAATTATATTTGGTTCTAATTATCTTTTATGAATCCTATAAAAGAAAATATATTTTATCTTTAATAGAAAAATAAAAAATAATATTTTAATAATATTATAAAATATCATAAAATACGGGACAGATATATTAATCTAATATATAATTCGAAAAAGATGAAAAAGAACTAAAACTCATGTAAAAAGTTAAATGTATTTAAAGTTACATTTTCTAATTATTGTGAAATATACTTCGCAGTTTTGTTTATACTTCGTAATTTTAGAATATATAATCCATGTGAATTCTCAATCGCCTTAATTTTACTTAGAATTAGTGTCATTATTCAAAGGTGTGACAGAAAAGTCTCAAATTTCATCAATCAAATGTATAATCCTCAATTTCGTCACTAGTTAATGTATGATTATAAGTATCTCTAGTTAAGGTCAAGTTCTAACATTTACCTTAGTTTTAGTTATTAATCTTGAATATGTCAGAGGCAAAAGAACACAAAAAAAAAAGTATTATCCAATTGCTTGGGAAACAAGAATTTTATTCATAATTTTTTATTTAGTTTTAGTTTGAAGTATTGATTTTGACTATATGCATAATCAACTAAAGAAATTACTACAAATTGATTGGAAAACTAGAATTGTATTCATCTATATCTTTTAGGTTTAATGCCTTTTTTAGTCCCTTAATTTAATTTGAGGTTTTACTTTCGTCCTTTATTTAATAAATATTTATTTTAAGTCTCTTAAATCTTCTGTTAATCATATTGGTCCTTTTTGTTAAATTTTGTCAAAATCTGTTAAATTATACTGATGTGACACTCTAATTGATATTAGTTTTGCTGACTTAGATTTGCTTTTAATTGACATGGAATATTGTATTATAATATATGAAACAACATTCTTATCTCTTCCAGAAAAA